AAAAAATACAAAAATACAAAAATACAAAAATACAAAAATATTTAGCTTTAAGAGGGTTAGGCCTACCCTAAAATTAAGGAACGCTCGACCTCGACACGTGATATCGAAATGGGCGAAATCGCCTCTTGATATCACTAACTCCTGACTCCTGACTCCCGTGTCCCTTTCAGCAACGTCAATTATCCAGGAGCATATGTTCTCTGCAGACCTTTTTCTACGGGGAATCATCTTAGTTTGTGCCTCCACCCCCAGCAGTGATCTCTTCCCGGAGAACAAACTGATGTGTAACTCCCACGATGAAGATGAGGATGACACACCCAGACGGTATGTTAGGCGGTAGCTGCGCAGAGAACCATCATTTGTTTGGAGGTCATCAACTACAGGATTTTTCTTTTAATTTAGATTTTTCTTTGACATTTAAATATTTTCAAATGCTTACTTACAATGGTATTGCTTGAGCCTTTTACATGTATGTGCCTCTCCCACAAGTTTGACAGTAAAAAGTCCTTTGCATTAATGAAGAGTTTAACAGTTGGTCCCACTCACTAATACTTGCTGGTTCTGCAAAGTTGGAAGATTTCACATTGAGCGGGATTAGATTTTTGTTAGGAACGTTGGCATTGTTCATGGCATTTCTTGATTACTCTTCTGCGGTGGACGGAGTGCGACAGAGTGCGTTTGCTGTGGTCCAAAATGGTCCTGGATTTAAGACGGATTGGTGGCAGGTCGTTGAGGTCGGCGTGGATGGACATTTCCTCCCTTACAAAACGTCCACCTGCATCCATCTGGCTGAACAACCAGGTGGAAAGCCGGGGGGAGAGGGTTGGATTTGGAACCAGGTGGACATTGCTTCAACTGGCGGAAATACGCCTTGGGGAACATCCACCTGGTTCCGAATCCACACGGAAGGTGGACGTTTTGTAAGGGCTGGCTGCAGTTGCGGGTGTACTCCCTTGCTGTTGCGGATTTGCGGCGAAGAAAGGTAGGCGCAATATTGCTGTGAACGGGCAGGGAAGACAGCGGCGCTGATTTTAGCCTGCCAGCGATGTTCCGCATTGCGGAATGCAGCAGTACGTCAATTATATTTGCATGTGGGCTTGAGAGTCACACGGGCGAGTAGTGCTCGGCTGTAGGGTACACCAGGGCGAGTGATTCTGCGCGAAGCGTTTGAGCGTCCGCTCCTCAAGATGATCCGACAAGTTTCTGGACCAGATTGATCTTGCTTTTCAATTCTTAAAGGTAGCCTAAGTTATTCTCATGTTTTCTCCCTGTATAAAAATGACCAGGAACGGAATTTTAACTTTAAATGAAGGTACAGGGTGGGTCACGAAAAGATGGCAATTTTTCCTTTGTTATATGTTGACTCCCAGCAAAGGGAGCTGCATCACCTGTGACTGGGAGCTGCAATAGGATATGGAAAAATTGTCGAGTGTATGTTTGGACAAGTAGGTTTAAGGAACAATAAATGCAATACAATGCAGCAAATGAATAAAATTGTGCTGATGTCCGCGGAGACGAAGAGTGTGACTGTTTCGCAATGACGCTTCAGAGCTTTTCTTAGGAGAAAGTGAGCTCCAAACAGGAATACTATCCTGGAACTTTAATATCGTTTTGGTTCTTGCACAGTCCCCTTTTGTTCCACAACTCACGGAGCCAACTCTGGTTGGAGGAAGTAGTCATCTCCGGGAGAGGCACGTTCTCCCATCTCTACTACTTCTCTCTCTTCATCATCTATTATACTTATTCCTGAAATGTACATTTATAATAGGCTTATGCTTCATTTTCAGTGGGACCGTCATGAGTTATTTAATGGGAAATTTAAGTCCAGATTGCCCATTGCATAGGAGGGGTTTGAAAATGTAGACCCCGATGAACCAGGGATTGGACCTGGAGATTGCTTTCCCGAACCCTACGAGTGTAGAACTCCCGGTACGTCTCCCAATCTGCTCCTTGCACTTCAAAAACGCAATTTCAGGTCCAATTTTAATTTTTGGTGCCATACTTATCGCAAGAAAATAAGAAAAGCAGGCGAAATTATTTAATTCCAAAGATATGCATAATGGATGCATAATTGAAACGTGCTTCTACTTTTAGACGCATTGGAGAGTGTCAGGGTCGATCTCGAATCCAGGCATGCAGTCGCACTTGTCCAGGCTGGGATTGCATTCCAGATGAGCTTCGACGTCGCAGTCTGCATCTGTCAGGCATTCGTCTCCCAACCCACCTGGCTTCTTATCTAAACATAAAACATATACTCTATATACATATTAAAACTTCCTGAATCTCCTGATATATAAATCTTCTGCGATCAATGCACTCGACATTGGTTGCTGTGATGATAGGAATGCAGGTTCTCCTCATTTGAGTATATGCATCTGACGTCATGAGGTGAAGTGGACGCGATGAGAATATTCTACATTTACTGCTCGAGCCTGAATATTCAATTGTAAGAGTGAAGATTTGAATTCAGCTTTTCTGTAAGGCGATAGGCTTTTTGCATAGTTTCCTTGAAACGGAAAGGTTTGCATTCTTGAGGTAGTCGAAGAGAAAACTTGCTGACCACAAGTAAGGGTTTCCACGTTGAGCTCGAAGTCGTCTGCACACTTGCATATTCCATCTTCGCAATGGAGATTGGCATTTCCATTGCAGTTGGCATTGTTATCGCATTCGTCCCCGAGGCCTCCGTCGCCAGTCACTGACATATCAAAACACAGCATGTATACATTAGTCATCGATTGTCATGTAGGGGCTTGTATCGATTTTCATTTCCTTCTCCCGTGGCACTTAGCAAAATATTATATTGCGCCCTAACCCCCAGCAGCTTACACTCTTAGAAAATTCCGAGCGTTTGGGGAGTAAAAAGTGAACACACCGTGAGTTTTTCGAATTTACTCTTTTATTACTCACCAAATGCTCCCTCATCGCTCGTATTGAAGTGAACACCTTGACGTTCTTCGCCAGGCCCCTAGATGGCGGTAAGGGTCTTGCTTTTCGCACAGTACACAAAAATTCCCATCTCTCTTTCCTTGGAATCGTCCCTTGCAGGATTGTTTAGAACCTTGCCATATGTCTCGCCTAGTCCCATTATAGGAATCAATAAACACGGACACTTCATCATTTGTTACCCACATATTCAAGACATGTTCATGGAGTCCAGGCCATAAACAAGCTCATATTCCTATTGAGAACCCTTTTGGAACGGTTTCGGATTTATCCGTATAGGAGATCTAGAATAAATAGAGTGTCCGTAATTAAATATCTCAATTAACTGATGTAATAAAGGGTTAATATCCCGGATTCTCCACGGAACCTGTAAGAGGTGATCCACTCTCGCACCTCTGCTGCAATCAGTACTGTCAGAGGTAGGTCATCGCCTGTACGAGAGCGAAAGCGACACGCATTTTGAGAATTTTCGTATTTGCATGACATCTCTACCACTTTCTGATGGGAGCGTTTTTACTCAAGGAGGAGAAGAGCAATTTTAGTCCTAGGTGATGGAGCAAATTCGCTCCTTTCCCAGAGTGAAAGGGGGGTGAAGCTGGAGTTAGCTATTTTACTCTCTTTTTTGAGAAAAATCGCTCCCCTTTTTCTAAGAGTGTGCTTCGGTCGTGCTATAGATGCACGAAGCGACCTAATAGATATTCAGACCATCTGAATTCCCATCTGATGCTTTTCTTCTTGGACATGACACTCTAACTGCGCTTTATGGATCATTTTCACTTCTGGCTCATACCCTTCGCCCCTCACCCTCCAAGGGGGACGGATGCATCTGCGTTCATGCCGCTCTCCCTGTGAGTACCTGGCCATGGTAAGGGAAACAAAGGATGAAACCATCCGACCATGTGGGGTCCAAACTCTCAAGGATGCTACTGGGTGGTCGGTTCTGTGGAGCTACTGCTCCGCAACCGTCGATTCAGAGTTTGCATGGGGGACCGCGTCTGCCCCTGGGGGCTGTAACACAACTGTCTACCCTAAAGCTCAGTGCTTGCCCCTACTCTCTTCAATATCTTAATCCATGGCCCCTGACGCAAACATCACGCAAACAGCCCCTTGAGGTTATCATCGCACGGATAGTGGCTCTTGTGCAAACAAGCCTTGCCTTGCCACCCCGATCTCTTTGATCCACCAACCCATCGCCTCCCATCCCTGCACCCAAGCTGTGAGCAGCGCTAGCGAGAGGAGTGGTCCATGTCGACTAATCACAAGCTAGTCGACGACCCAAACCCAAACCCATATTTCCCCAAACCACCAGGCTTCAACCTTCCACGAAAATTGTGGACCCTTTTGGATCATTTTCAGACTGGTCATTGAGCATTGTGGGGCTGCCACAGATGGTGCTTGTGCCCACTGTGCGAATGCGGTGAGCCCTAGTCAATGCATAGTTAATTACTGACTTGCCTCCATGCGCCCCTAGTACTCTGCACACTCTTAGAAAATTCCGAGCGTTTGGGAAGTAAAAAGTGAGCACACCGTGAGCTTTTCGAATTTACTCTCTCATTACTCACCAAATGCTCCCTCACCACTCGTATTGAAGTGAACACCTTCAAGTTCTTCGCCGGGCCACTAGATGGAAATAAGGGTCTCGCTTTTCGCACAATGCACAAAAGTTCCCTTCCCTCTTTCCCTGGAATCGACCCTCGCAGGATTGTTTAGTACCTTGCCATATGTCTCGCCTAGTCTCATTATAGGAATCAATAAACACGGACACTTCATAATTTGTTATCCACATATTCAAGACGTACTCATAGAGTCCATGCCATAAACAAGCTCATATTCCTGTTGAGAACCCCCTTGGAACGCGGATGACTTTATCTGTATAGGAGATCTAGAAGGTGAAGAGAGTGCTCGTGAACTTCATTCCCTCGTACCTCCATTAAGTGAGGTGATGAGGACTGATATCCCGGACTACTCCATGGAACCAATAAGAGGTGGTCTACCCTCTGACGTGTGATGCAATCAGTACAATCAGAGGTAGGTCAACGCATGTACGAGAGAGATAGCGACACACAGTATATAATGAATTTTTCGCATTTGCACGACATCCCTATCACTTTCCGATGGAAGCGTTTTTACTCACGGAGGAGAGCAATTTTACTCCTTCATGATGGAGTAAATTTGTTCCTTTCCCAGAGTGAAAAGGGGGTGAAACTGGAGTTAGCTATTTTGCTCTCTTTTTTGAGAAAAATCGCTCCCCTTTTTTTAAGAGTGTACCATAGAGGCGTTGAGCAGTATCGATGAAATTTTGTTCATTCACTTGAGCTAGCATATAATAAAATCACTGACAGTCTCAAAGTTCTAGGATGAATGGACAGTAAAACTCTCGAAGCGAGGGTATCCGAATCCTTTTTTCACCAGAAGAACCTGAATAAAAATTTAAAAGTCGCTCCTCAACTTTTCTCTGCTACATTCTTGCATGCGACGCCCGTCAGGCTTTAGATTGGCAGCAATTTCTCCTCTTTTTCTCCCCTTCCCTGAATCACCCAAAAGCCGGTTGATGCGGTGCTGAGTCTTGCTGTGCAACCTGGAAGTCGCGGGTAAAACTCCATGCCAAAAATCCTGTCAATAGGTACGGTTCGATCCTGTCGATGGATTCTCACTTTTTCTTCGTTGTCAAGGATGACCGCGGTGACTAAAAGAAGCGGCATTGCAAATGGGGAAAGAGAAATATGGCGCTGGGCAGAACGAGTCACGCTGTCTGGCTCGGGTGAGTGTTTTTGTTTTTGAGTGATCTGTGTGACTGTGACCCTCCAACTTCCAAAACCAAGTGCGGAGTGGACCTTGAAACCTACGAACTGGGTGAGATCTGTGTTTATCGAACCGTTCTGTGTGAACAGAGACTTGAAAATTCTGGCTTTTGGAACGAGTGTCTGGGCCACGTAGATGCACGTCTCTCACACGAAGCGACATCTTCAGGACACATTCATGTACAATACCTTTACTGTGACAAGGTAGAGGAAGCTTCACAAGCGAAAAAAAAGTACAGCCCAGACTCAAGAATGAAGAAGGCAGGACCAAGGGAAGAGGAGTCTCGTTATACATTGGCCGACGTCATGGCCGAACTAAGGAACATGAAGAGTGAAATCAACAAAGGAATGAAGGACATCGAAAACAAGGTGAATCTCGTCATGCAACGACAAGTGGAATTAGAGAAGGATCTGTCTGACCATAAAGAGAAATGCAGTGGTGTGTCAAGGAAGTGCGAGGAATCGCTGGAAATGCTAAAAGAAAATCTAGACGACCTGGAAGTCCAAATGAGGAAAAGGAATCTCATCCTCCATGGAATCGAAGAGGCGGAAGGAGAAGCTGTAACGACTTTGATGTTGGTGAAAGATTTTTTCGCCGCAGAACTGAAGATCCCTGATAGAATACTGATTGTGAAAGCATTTCGGATGGGGAAGAAAGAGAGCGGGAGGACGCGACCCATTTTTACTGAGGTGGGGCAAGAAGAGGATAGAAACACGATTATGAAAGCTGCTAGCATGCGGACGGAGGCTGAGAAGAAGCGGTGCCCGATTGCGGAAGATCTCCCTCCAAGAGTTAGAGAGAAGAGGAGGAAGCTTATTCCGTTTCTGATCGATGCTAGAAACAAGAATATGAGAGCCAGATCGCAAGGAAGTAGGTTACTCATCGAGGGAGTAAGATATCGACTGGAAGAAAGCCAACTAGTGGCAGAAGGAATGAGAAAGGAGACCCCTGAACCGTCTTCCATCGGCAGAAAGAACCCCAGAGAAGAACCCACCAAGTTTACAGGAGCGAGAAGTAAGAAGAAACAAGAAGAGGGCATTCTTCAGTACTTGGGACCAAGAAACACAAGGAACAAGAACACGGAAGGGAGAGGAGACCGAAACAAAGAACATGCACAGTGACATCGAAGAGCCTGAGCACAGGAACCAACGACAAGGGAAGTCGAGTTCGGTGGTCCGAAAAAAACTTGCGTGCCAACATGACCTTTCTTTCTTGGAATATAGCAGGTCTGAGTGGGAAACTTCGTGACCCCTTCCTAGTAAGTTACCTGAAGCAGTTTGATCGCGTCGCAATCCTGGAATCGTGGTTGCCAAAGGGAATGCATCTCGGACTACCTGCTTATAAGACCTTCAGTGTAGAGGCGCAGAAGATGAAACAAAGAGGACGTCCGTCAGGAGGCATTCGTGTGCTTGTAAAAGANAAGGTGAATCTCGTCATGCAACGACAAGTGGAATTAGAGAAGGATCTGTCTGACCATAAAGAGAAATGCAGTGGTGTGTCAAGGAAGTGCGAGGAATCGCTGGAAATGCTAAAAGAAAATCTAGACGACCTGGAAGTCCAAATGAGGAAAAGGAATCTCATCCTCCATGGAATCGAAGAGGCGGAAGGAGAAGCTGTAACGACTTTGATGTTGGTGAAATATTTTTTCGCCGCAGAACTGAAGATCCTTGATAGAGTACTGATTGTGAAAGCATTTCGGATGGGGAAGAAAGAGGACGCGACCCATCTTTATTGAGGTGGGGGAAGAAGAGGATAGAAACGCGATTATGAAAGCTGCTAGCATGCGGACGGAGGCTGCGAAGAAACGGTGCCCGATTGCGGAAGTTCTCGCTCCAAGAGTTAGAGAGAAGAGGAGGAAGCTCATTCCGTTTCTGATCGATGCTAGAAACAAGAATATGAGAGCCAGACTGCTAGGAAGTCGGTAACTCATTGAGGGAGTAAGATATCGACTGGAAGAAAACCAACTAGTGGCAGAAGGAATGAGAAAGGAGACCTGTGAACCGTCTTCCATCGGCAGAAAGAACCCCAGAGAAGAACCCACCAAGTTTAGAGGAGCGAGAAATAAGAAGAAACAACAAGAGGGCATTCTTCAGTACTTGGGACCAAGAAACACAAGAAACAAGATATTGAAGAGTCTGAGCACAGCAACCAATGACAAAAGGAATGAGAAAGGAGACCCCTGAACCGTCTTCCATCGGCAGAAAGAACCCCAGAGAAGAACCCACCAAGTTTACAGGAGCGAGAAGTAAGAAGAAACAAGAAGAGGGCATTCTTCAGTACTTGGGACCAAGAAACACAAGAAACAAGACACGGAAGGGAGAGGAGACCGAAACAAAGGACATGCACCGTGAGGATGATGATATTGAAGAGTCTGAGCACAGCAACCAATGACAAGGGGAGTCGAGTTCGGTGGTTCGAAAAAGCGTGTGTGCCAACATTACCTTTCTTTCTTGGAACATAGCAGGTCTGAGTGGGAAACTTAGTGACCCCTTCCTAGTAAGTTACCTGAAGCAGTTTGATTGCGTTGCAATCCTGGAATCGTGGTTGCTAAAGGGAATGCATTTCGGACTGCCTGGTTATAAGACCTTCAGTGTTGAGGCGCAGAAGATGAAACAAAGAGGACGTCCGTCAGGAGGCATTCTTGTGCTTGTAAAAGATTATATTGATGTTATGTATAACGCCCCCTCCAAAGAATCTGCTTATGTCTTATGGCTAGTATTAGGAAAGATCTTAGAAGAACCCATAGTTTGCGGACTCTGTTACAACCCTCCCTCAACATCACCGTATTCTGACGCGAATCTATTTACAATTATGGAAAATGAATTGTATGATCTCTTGTACCGTTATAACACCAGCTCCTGGTTAATGGCAGGTGACTGGAATGTAAGGATAGGAGACTGGCAGGAAACAGCTTGTCTTGCTAACCCTAAGATTATTCCCAGGAAAGCATCAGACACCGTGAGATCGAATCATGGTAACGGTGGCTTCCAACAAATGGTGGACAATGTTGATGGTCTGCTTCTTAACGGTCGGTTTTCAGACAGCGAAGGGGCATTTACTTACCTGGCTGCCACAGCCCAAACTACCGTTGATTATTTTGTTATTGCTTCCGAATTATGGGATTATATTGAAGACTTCTTCATCGATTCCAGATACGAATCGGATCATTTACCCTTGGCTCTATCTCTCAGCTTTTCTCAGCACAGTAAGAAAGTAGACCCGGTACAGGAAGGCCAAATTTGGAGAAGGTTGTTTTGGTCAAAGGAATTAATGGAAAAATTGAAAAGCAGGAGAGAATTCCCAGAATATAAGATGACACTGGCGAATCTAAAACACTTAACCAGACCCACGGAACTTTGGTCTCAGGATCAAGTTGAAAAGATATCCAAGATGTTCAATACATTATTAATCATTGTGTCTGCGTCCTTTGGGTTAAGGGAAAATAAACTTCGGCAAGAGGAGAAGGTGAATAGTGCAGAATGGTTTGACGTAGACTGTAATGTACTGCGCAAGAATACCATGAGTTATCTGAAGATATACCGAAGAACCCTCTCGGAAGAAAATCTTAGAACATACCTCGAAACTAAGAAAGAGTACCGGCATCTTTTGCGAATAAAAAAACGAGAATGGGGAGAACGAATGTCGAATTTACTCAACGATTGTTCATCGAATAGAAGGACGGCGGACCTTTGGGCTGTTTTAAATAGGATTAGGAGGTCAAGAAAGCTGGAAGACTCCCCTATCCCATTCGAGAAATGGTTGTTATATTTCGAAGGAATGTGTTATTCCAATTCCAGTCAATTGTACAGGCCGATACCGCACAAGTTTGATTGTATTCTGGACGCGCCCATCTCCCCGCTAGAGGTCTCGGAGGTCTTGTTAGAGGCTAAAGAGAAGAAAGCCCCAGGAATTGATGGCTTTCCAAATGAAGTGTTTAAGTTTCTAGTACCAGATCTGCTGGAAGGTCTTACAGGGTTCTTTAATTACATCTTGGAATCTGGTTTCCACCCTGATGAGTGGAAGGTGGGAATCTTGCAGCCAATCTATAAGGGTAAGGGAGATAAAGAATCCCCCGACAACTACCGTGGCATAGCATTATTACCATCAATCGCAAAAAGTTTCACGAAGATTCTGGACAAACGAATCAGGAGATGGGCTTCCCACCACAACATCATGACCCCCTTACAAACTGGATTTCGATCGGGATTTTCAACTATGGATAATATTTTCATCTTAGACACATTAATCACCAAATACTGCGGGAGAAAACGTGGCAGACTCTATGCAAGCTTCATAGATTTTCGGAAAGCATTCGACTCCATTGATAGGAATGTTCTTTGGCCAAAATTAGCAGAGATTGGAATCAGTCACCAAATGCTAAGAATCTTAGTCGCCATGTACGTAGATGCTCGGTTCGCTGTAAAGATGACCACCTCTAGTTTTTCACCAAGTATTGCCTTACCAAAAGGGGTGAGACAAGGCTGCCCACTTTCGCCAACATTATTCTCCTTGTTTATCAATGACTTTCCAGATATATTGATGGCTGGCTCCTATTCCCCAATCTGGTAGGGCGCCCTATTCCATGCCTCCTATATGTGGACGACTTGGTTTTATTATCTTTAATACCTAAAGACCTGCAGATTAGTTTAGACATCCTACTTCAATATAGCAAGCTCAACAGACTGGAGGTGAACGGCGCCAAGTCAATTAATATGGTTTTTAAAAAGGGTAATAAATTGAAGAGAGATGAAGCATGGAGTTATGATGGGGATAAAATGCTAACAGAGACTAGTTTTCAATATCTAGGAGTGCATTTTTCTATGGATGGTTCCTGGCGGAAACATTTCAAGTATAGTGTCGGGAAGGCCAAAACGGCCATCGCCATGACCCAGAGGATTGTATCGCAGGTCTACGGTTTGTCTACCAGTCATGCCCTTGAAATGTTCAATGCCCTTATCTCCTCTGTGGCCTTATATGGGGCGGAAATTATTAGAGAGGTCCCATGGAAGGAACTGGATACTCTGTTAGTGCAGTTCCTCCGGTTGCTTTTCAGACTCCCCAAAAGCTTCCCCAGAGCACCGTTACTTTTGTCAACCGAAGCAACCTCTGTGCAAGCACTGGCGGCGGCTAGACATTTTCAATTCTGGATGAGAATACGCGAGTTGGAGGAGGCTCACCCAAGTTCATGGGCGCTAAAAGAACAAGGAATTTTACTGCAGAGAGGGAAGGAGTGCTGGTTGAAGGTGATTAGGAGTGAATTCCAACATTATGGATATAGCTATGTCTGGTACTTCGGTCCCCCAACGAAAAGTTTTGTTCCCGTAATACTAAGATCAATCCGGACATATCATTTAGTACAATGGAGGCGAGAAATTGAGACATTATCCTCGTGCCAGCAAGTACTAGGCTTACTGGACTCGGAACACTTTATGATCACCCTTCGCAAAACAGACAGAAAACTAGGCATTATGCTGACATTCTTGCTTGCACTTTTTCGTTGGTCACTTTCGATCATTTGTGGGAAGGATTTCATCTGCCCAATATCTTATAGGCCCGATTCTCGCCTTCACCTATTAAATGAATGCCACGAAACAAAAAAAATCTCACAATCGATCTGAAAAGTGACATTGAAGACCTGAAGGACGATGAGAGCCTGTTGGCGTACCTAAGTAATATATCAGAGGAGAGGAGTAAAGAGCTGACCTCCTTCCTTCACCAAGCAGACAATCACAGACGCAAAGCAATTCGTCTCCGCTCGGATCACGATAATGATACGAACGTCAATACACCCCAATAGCAATAATAGTGAATTAAATTCGATCCTAGAAGCCGGCGCTTGTATATGAATGTTTTTATATTTCAGCTTTTGCCACTGGTATATGCTGAATAAAGATGAATTGATTGATTGATTGATTGGCATTGCAAATTGAAAGCGAAGCACAGGATGTCACTTCCTACTTCTAATGGCATTTGTCCTTGCCTAAGCATATCGAATGTCCGGACAGACATAATATTGAATAGAACATAAACTTTTTCACTCGCACTCGTGCACGTGGAGTTCAATAAAGCAACAACAAAAAAATGAATGTACTGACCACACTCGAGGATGTCGGGATTGAATTGGAAACCATCAGCGCAGTCGCATTTTAGTAAAGCCATGTTGCATGCCAAATGTTCCTCTTCTTTGCAGTCGTTGTCAGAATCGCATGGATCCCCGATCCCTCCTTCTCCAGAAGGAGGGATCGTGGGCTCCTCCGTCGGCGGCGCTTCTGTCGTCGATGTCCACCAATCTATAGATGTCCACCATTCTGTAGTTGTCCACCAATCTGTAGTTGTCCACCAATCAGCAGTTGTCCACCAATCTGTACTTGACCACCAATCTGTACTTGACCACCAATCTGTATCGTCCGTTCGCCCTAAAATAATTTTCACAACGTAATTACGCCCACCACGTCCCTCGAAAGAATCATGAACTCCAATGAACTCTGGAGATGACTGGATGGGAGTTGCACTGAGCTACCCTTCGCATCCCCCGCGTAACTACAGCGCTTGTAAGAAACAATCAAATTGTAGTATTCCGCACTCTTTTTGGACCCTCTTTGACGTGGGCGTCAAGTGCGAAGTACGAATCGTGTCACCATGGGTCATTCCATGCTAAATCAACGAAGCCTCACCCCCCTCCGATTTTAATGAAACTAGTCAGTAGCCTGTGCAAAAGCACGGATTAATTAAAAGACAATCATTGACAGCTATTGATGCATAGAAATGAAGATTATTTTATAAGCCTTTTAGAGGAGGTTGCCTAATATTAATACAATGTGATGCTGGCCCTTGACCCCTTTCATGCCGGATGGTTCCGTTTGGAAGTATCAACTTTCCGAATTTTTTTTAAATTACCGTATGCATGCCTGCGAGCTATCGTCAGCATAGACTCATCAGACCGGTTCCTGCCAGCAGGATAATATGACAACAGCCTCATATTATCAGTGTGAGTCTAGTAAACGTCTCGTAAGAGCGCATTATTATCCTCTGCGTGAGTTTGAGGTAAGTTCCTCTTTCTAAAAATTCTGGCATGAAAGGGTTAAACCGAATTCAATGAATCATATTTCATTTGAAAATGTATCCTTTGCAGGATAAAAAAAATATCACTTTTAGTTAAATTTGAAGGGTTTGAAAAAGGTAAATGAGGTTTGGTTAGATTACGATGAAATTTCCTTTCTTTTGAAAAGATTGTTACTCCATCAAAATACAAACTTTGAAAATTTTTGAAGAAAAAGAAATGCATGCCGCCAAGAAAAAAGAAAATGAAATTTCAATTTAGTTGCGTCTTGCTATTTCTTTGCATCAAAAACATTTATCTTATAAATCATACATTCAATCTCTTTTGTTGCGAATCACCATTTTCCAGGTGAGGTTTTATGGACTTCACTGGAACTAACGTTCTTTCTAAGTTTTTGGCGATGCGAAACGCATTTATTCGAAATCCCATTCCAAAACGATGAAAATCATTTAACCTAACCTAACCGAAACCATCTTTAACCTAACCCTTAGATAACCTAACTTTTCAAAATGCTCAGATATAAAATAAAATATATACAGGGTGGTCCACGAACTGTGTGACACTTTTATTCGACAATAATTGAAATTAAACAATGTTTACAATAATGAAACTTAAACTAGCATGAAGAATAGAGTTTTTAATTTCGTTTTTACATTTATTTCATACAAATATGCCTTTTTATTTTCGGAAAATTATTTGATTAAGATTAACATCATTCCGGTTAACAAATTCAGCAACTTAGCAAAGCATTGTTCTTTGTTTATGTTAGTATTTTATGCTAGTCCCTCTGTTAAACTGCAGGATGCTTCTTTTAAACTCTTCTGCATTACAGGGCTACTTTGGTGAAGTCTTATAATGCTCCCGCAAAAAAAATCTGGGGGAGTTACGTCCGGTGACAGTACAGGGCAGGGAATTTCACAATTCCTTGAAGGAAGCCTTGGGCCATTGGCTAGCATTTGCAATGTTGCAAAAAAGCCCATAGTGGATCATGATTCCCCATGTTAGGAATTAAAAAAAAAAAGTTTTTGAATCAATAGCTTCTTCAAAGTGAGTATTTTGAAAGGTTCTTCTGAGTATTCCGATGCAGCTTCATATTAGCTTTCGAGTCCAAAAACTTTTCCTAGTACAATTATGGCCAAAGATAGCGTTTTGACCCATAGATTCACTTTTCCTTTCGTGGGTTCTAACTTTGAGGTACAATATCTTCTCAACCGTTTGTGCTAGAGCACTTAAATTATGGCTTTTTTTCATAACTCAGAGAGGTCATAATGCATGAATTTTCTCAATCAAGTCACAGTCGATCACGCACCCAATAGTCCAATCACGTGAACTGGAATGCCTCAAAGATGGTAGGGATCAGCTGATTCAAAAATGTATTTCCGGAATATAAACAAATGCCAGCTTTTTGTAACCTTGAGCATTGGTAGCTATAACATTGACCGTTTCGAGGAATTTTTCTGCAATTTTTATTTTGGGGGTTTCATACTATTTCAAAGGTGAGATTTTTAGCCGATGAAAATCATGGTGTGTTTTTTTTTTTGCTCAAGTGATATTGTTATGCTAGTTTTGAATTTTTCGCTCAATTGTGAGTGAATTGACATCATAATCAAGGCTCTAGCTTAAGTAATTTTCGAGTTACAGTGATGTCAAAATCGGATATTAGAAGGTAATCTTAAATTTTGACCACCCTGTAGAATTAGACCTACGGGCTCGATGAGACTGAAATGTGGTGTTTCCGGGTTTCGTGACATAATAAGTCTGTATGCCAAATTTAATTTTAAAAATTCGGAGGTGGTTGGGCGCTAATTCGCAAAATTTTTGGGCGATTCTCCATGGAATGACACTATTACGAAATTCAAGGGAAGGTCTTTTTTCCTTGTTATAAAAGTTTTGAAAAAGGTAATGAAATTTTCGCTGCACCTGAAGATGAAGTAGAAAAAAAACTAGTGTTTACTGTAGAGTATTGCTTTGGGCATGAGCATGGCTAATCGAATGCGCGACGAATTGATCGTCTGCGCATGCTTAAACCACTTTTTCTCGCTTTTAGCAAGATGGCCACTGGAATTCATTCTTTCTGTGTGGAGCTTGAGAAAAGTTGGATCGCATTACCTTTCAGCTCTTCAATTAAAACCACATTCACGCGCCATTTTCGGCTTGTTATGGGACAGAACTGACATGACATTTTTTGCAATTTCGTTATAGAAATGCTCGTTTTTGGCGATTGGTGCAAGAAATTTACTCCGTTACAAGGTATATTTCATGATATCGTAATTTGTTACAACGTTGTATTTTTAGGCTGGGGCCAGCCAAAAAAAAAATACACCGTTGCAAAGTGTTCATACATATTTCGTTAAATGGTGTTTTTCATTAAAGCGTACTTCGTTATTACGAACACCGACTGTACTTCATAAAGCACTTGGCCTGGGAAGCAAACAATTAGTGTGGATCAGTTTCTCGATGTGTCATAAATATCCACAAATTATCATAAAAATCGGAGAAGACAGATCAATTTTTTGCGTTGCTTTGACACGGAATAACCCAACATTTTAAGATTCATGAAAATTTTTCGTCACGAACTATCAATGAGTTCATGTTCGACTCAACTTACCAAAAGCGAGAGGGAAGGTGACCCCGAGGAACAAGCTCAAGATGAGCGGAGAAAAGCGTAAGCTATAATTCATCTTTCTGTGTTTCCAATGTGGAGTAGAAGCGAGTCAGAACGAATGGAATCTGTTGCGGATGTCTCACACTTGCACCTCTCCCATATTCAGTTTGCTTGGACAGCTCATCGCTTTTAGTGTGCCAACGAGATATCGCATGTGAACCATCACCTGTGTACTTCTGTCTCAGAAAAATTTTAAGATAATATCGGAAGTAAACGATAAAAAAAATAGGAGAAATAATTTTCCAAGGGAACGAATCCAAGGTACCTGCTGTGGCACAACAACGCAACTTTGCCTTAAATATGATGAGCTCGTGTCTGTCTGTTCCATGAGAAACGGGAACTACTTGTGTGCGAACATGCGCCAAATGAAACTCGTATGGACGCTAGAAGCTCATGGATCTCAACGCCTGAAATTTCTATTCTCCTGCACCATCTCGTATCCCTTGATGAGGTTTTATTGAGCCTGGAGCCCCCTGTCAAATTCCAGCACCTAAGGCCAAGAGGGAATCGGTGTTCGAACCATATCGATGCTACCGAGAAACTAAGAAAAACTCCTCCTGCAATTGTCGACAGCTGTAGGATAGCTTCCACCAAGTCGATGTTGTCGAATGCGTCGACCAGCCACGGAGAACATGGGTTGCATGGCACGCTCCAGGTTCATGTCCTGTCTTGCTACCACTTCCACGTTTTGGTCTTCCACCAAGTAGGGATTCCTGCACCCTTCCAGTCCTGAATTAAAATATAAATGATGTAAAGACGAATTTCCTTATATAGCCGTTTACAGTGAAACGTCATGAAGGACAATAATACAAATTCGAAGAGGTCCCACGGACTCAGGAGTCTCGCTAGACCTCAAGGCCGTGCATTCCTATATAGCCCTGGAAAATATACGAAAAAATTTGGGACTCCTGAGTCCCGCCAAAAAAAGGATTTAGGTAAGACATCGTTTCTATTAATCTCAAGCAAACGAGGTTAATGGAGGCTGACATTCATAACTGGAGTTAAACGTTTGCAAGAATTAACTGGCCGTTTGAATTTCGTAAAGTATAAAGAAAGTATCAAGTATAAAGAAAATATTGTGCTCGGAATTTCAAGTTTCTTTCCTTATGTGTGCCCTTTTGTGGAACATCTTGTTTTCATATACTGTACGTTAATTTAGTAGCTTCTTTCCAAGTCACAGGCTTGGATTGCATGCGACCCATCCCAAGTTTCCGGGTCCCATAAAATGTAGGTATTGGGCTCATTGGGTCGTCGCATAAGCAAGGTTGAGAACCACTGCAATAAAGCACATTCTCACTAAACTCAAAAAGATCGATTACCAACTCTGTCTCGCATTAAGGGAAAAAGGAGATTAAAACAAGAGTCTCTGTGGCGAGAGTCCTCCTTTTCTTCCCTTTACCTCATCCTGTCCCTTTCAGAAGACGGATAAAATAGGATAGTGAGGGAAGAAGAGATTCTCTTATCAGAGTGAGCCAAGCCCACCTTCATAAATAAACTGTAGTAAGATTCAATTCGATTCGGAAACAACAACTCATAGCAATATGTCGCGTTTCTCTGCACTCTTACACCTCTTCAGGAGTCAGGAGTCAGGAGAGTTCGTGATATCAAGAGGCGATTTCGCCCATTTCGATATCACGTGTCGAGGTCGAGCGTTCCTTAATTTTAGGGTAAGCCTAACCCTCTTAAAGCTAAATATTTTTGTATTTT